GATCTAATCTTATCTTTAAAAACATTATAATGATTCTAGGTTATTCTGAATGCTATAATAACGTCAAAAGTTAGACTTTGGACTTTTATGTCAATGAAATGCATTAGGCGGCAAAATTTGATCAAATTAAGGGCAATCTGACATAAGAATTAAAACAACAGCTAAGATAAATATTGATTTCCATTTATTATTATAAATTTCTTATGTGAGAGAGCATATGTTTAAAAAGAAAAAATATGATGAATAATACAAAATAATGTTAATTTTTTCATTAAATTTATCAAACAATGTGTTCCGATTTCCCCCGCTGATTTTTTTCTAGGTGGGGGAATTCCGGACGCTGGTTTTATGGGTAGCAGACATTTCGGCCCATCGACACCTCGGCCTGTGACGGTTGACACCTATAGGCCTGGACGGGTCGACCCAAAATTATTGACACATCGGCCCATATTAAAGACCCAAGAAAAAAGTTAGTCCAGTGTCTGAATTATTGTTTTTATTTAATTAATTACTCTTTCTGACGATTAAACAATTTTCTTCATAAAAATAAATTTGGGAAGGGGGAGGGCTCTATAATATCATTTCTATGCAAGTCCCTAACCGGCATCTCTCTCTCTCGTGAAAATGTGCAATATACATGCTAAGTAATGTAAAACAAGCATGCTTTGTCTAACAAAGTGGCATGTTGTTGGAATGTATTTTCTCACAATTTTTTTTTTCAAAGCACATATTGCTCTCCTGTCCGGATTTTACCCCGCCTCTGTCCGGAATTCCCCCATGTTGTCCGGACTTGCACTATTTCACCACCTGAATTCATTTTATTATCAATAAAAGATATTTAATTGTGTTTCATGATGATATTCATTGCATTTTGTTGCCAAAAAGTGTTTCCACACTTTACCACTTGAAATCAGAGTGTGTTGAGTGTTTATTTTCGTTTGCTGGGTGTTACATATTAAAACATGACAAAAGTGTCCAGAATTGGACGGATCTCCCCTAATATGAATGAGAAATTCTGGAATTACATCAGCAATTGGAGTCAAAACTTGCTATCTTTACCAACTATGATATTAAGGAAGCTGGGATTTTACAAATTAGTCATATTTAACTTATTCTATAGATATGCTATCTTCAGCTGTTAACTATCATTTGGCAAAGAAAACTTTCATACATTTTAGTTTCAAAATTTGATCATGCATTTTTGTATATATATTGAAATGAAGCTCTTCTTCTTCTAAAGGAGATCAATATAGTCTAAAAAATGACCATGACCACCAAGCCCTTTTTATTTAAATATATCATTTACATATCAATTCAAAATTATAAACATGCATATGTAAAAAAAATTAATAAATAAATAAAATATATACAATTGTATCTCATTGAAACTTTACCTTCAAGTTTGTGTGTTTTTTATGTTGATTGACTAACTGTGTATTTCCAAAGGAAGACAAGCAGCCAGGCTTCACTTCATAGAGAATGGAATATAGATGGTTAGGAACAAAACATATCTTCCAGGTTGAGGAAAATAAAACCATTTTGTTAATATCATAATATGACAGAGTACTGTGTGAAACAATGCATGTTTAAAAATTGAACAAACATGTACAATGCCAAAAAAAAAGTTCATGAAAATGTTTGTTTTTAATCTCAAAACAAATTGTTTTTAACATTAACTCCAGATGAGAAAAGTTCATGTTATCTTTAGATAATAAAAAAAAGCACAATTACTGTATTGATATCACAAATAAAATGATTATCAAATTAATTATTTAGACACTAAAAGACTTTTTTCTTAACAGCAGATTCAATTTTGTTTAATATCTGTTAGTACTGCATACAGAAAAATACATCTTTTTTAGCATCATCACAGTACAACATGTAGTCCTTCATTTTTTTTTTGAAAAGCTCATTACTAAGAAACAAAAGTGAAAATGAAATTAAATGTATACCATATATCCCACATATTTGGAATCAAAACAAAAAGTAAATGACTTAGGATTAATCTTTTGTAAATTCCTTCCTTTTCTCTTATTAGATTCCTAATTAATATCTCTTTGATCACCATTAAGTAAGTCTGAATTCCATGGCCATGGGTAACATACATAATGAATTATGAAATTAAATCATATCATTTATACAAAAGGACTTATTAATATTCTGAAGATCCCTTAATCATGTGTTAATATATTTTAGGTTAAATAAGGGTGTGCTTATATGAATGTAAGTTAGAGACAACAGATCACATAAGTATTACACAGTAATAAAATTAACCATATAATCATGGTTAAATGCAAAGATGGCCATCATAGGAAATGTAAACAATTAAAAAACAAGACAAACTAACCAGAGATATCCAAATATATGCCCAATAAGTCTATCCATTAAATAATCCAGTGAAATAACATCTCAGCTGATCCTGAAAAAAATCATACATATTCAGTGATACACAATTAACCTCATTTTACAATGTAAGTAAAGCAATAATTTACAGTCAAAAGGGACAGAAATGCATAAGATACCATGTATTTTACCAAAATTTACTGAATATTTTTCTGATTTAAATTCAATATCATAGAATGACCCATCATAGAAATTTAAATGCACTCTGAGTTACATGCAGGTTATACAAGTGTAAATCACATGAAATGAGGATAAATACAGCATTGACATTCAAAATAGAACTTTACATAATTATGTCTCCATCATAGGAAATGTAAACAAAATAAAGACAAACTTACCAGAATTATTCAATTATATGCCCAATTAAATAATCCAGTGAAACAACATCTCAGCTGATCCTGAAAAAAAAAACATACAATATTCAGTGATACTCAATTTAACCTCATTTTACAAAGGAAGTAAAGCAACAATTGACAGACAAACAGGACAGAAAAACATGTTTAAATGTAATGCAAAATAATATCTCTTATATATGGATACCTATACTCTAATCAATCATATTAAATGTCATTCGTAAAATGTATTTTTTTAAGACAGATTTATCAAAATGCTACCCTCTTACAGTTTTGGTCAACTTTAAATATTTCGTAAATAGTACACTGTATGATACATTATTTTTATTCTTTGTATTAGTTTTTGATTTTGACAGTGTTGCCATGGCTACTAACAAAAGAAAATTTTTGGTACAGTTTCAATAAGACTTGTTTCACAAGTTTATGTATTCTAAATTTTCCACATGCTCTACTTATATAAATAATAATTGGTAAATTAATCCCACAGACACAATTAAATATTATTTTTTCAGTTTTATATTGGCACTTTCACCTGAGATAAATAACATTATTTAGCATGATTTATAAAAAAGTAACTTATTCGTTTATATTACAGAAAAATTTGCACAACTACGCAGTTGTTTGAAAATTGAACCAGAACAACTAAGTTACACTGATTCAGGTATGTACAGATTATTTAACCGTATACATATAAGTAGAATTTTTAGCGAGATCACAAATTTAGCGATTTGTCATTAAAATTCAGTAATTATTTTTTGCAACAAGTGATTTTAGTGGTTTTGTGATGTAAAATAATATTAAGGTTATCTCAAATGCGGAATAACTTGTTAGCGATATTTAATTTAAAAATATCGCCAAAAATGCCAAAATTGAATACTGGCTAGCATAACTTCTTGTAAAATTATTTTATTGCAGATAGATTTCTACTAGCTCGACTGTTATCGTAAATGTCAAAGAGATGCTGCGGACATAATTCTCTAATAAATCACAAACGTCTTGAACAAATTATCAAAAATTTAAATAGGTTTCCTCTAATTTTCTAAAGTTTTAGATACAAATTAACAAGGAATAGCAATATATAAATCCTATTTCGTGCCAGGGGGGGGGGGGGGGGTAGTGCCTAACTTTTTTCACTTTTTTCAATACCAACTATCTTTCAATTCAAACTTTTTTGGGGTAAATTTTCTGTATAACAATACACTTTGCTGAAATGTGGGAAATCACCTAGAACATTTTCTATAGTAAAGGGGGGGCTTTGTATATTTTCTAGGTCAAAATTTTTATCAATTTTGTAATAAATTATACCTTTTCATGAAAATTTTTATTTTTTGTTTTCAAACACAACTGGTAAGATAAAAAAGAATATATATCTATTCTGCTTAAATATTTAGCTCACCAGAGTTGAAAGTTTAATTGACCTTTTCAGATAATATTTTGTTCAGCATCCATCCATCTGTAAAGTTTTAACATTTAATTATTTAGGAAATTCACAACAAACAAACAGTCAGGATTGGTTTGAGGCACAAAGGACTCCAAGAGAAAAACTGAATGCTGCTATGAGAATTTTGTCTGATTCATTTGAACCACTTCAAAGTCAGCTAACAAATGAATGGAATACTCTTAGTACCAGTATGAAATCCTATTATTCTAGGAAGGCCCAGGAATGTGTGGATCTTATTCTTTCCATTATAGCACCGGGTCAAGAAACCTTTCTACTTGACAGCATCCAGAAAAAGTTCACCAGAAACTCTGAGAAGCTTGAATTGGACTCAGTTACAAAGAGTGTCATTGATGCCTACAACAAAGTGACTGATAGTAGAACACAGACTCAGATTTTATCAGTTATAGTGAACAATTTTACCAAGACTGATTTGCAGAAGTTGATTCCTGGGTTGACAGTGTTCAAGATCGATAGCGCCCGAAAACATGCACTTGTAAAAGGACCAGGACATTTACTTCATCAGCCAAAAATATACAGAGTGAAACTGACAAAACCAAAAGTCATACATTTTATCGAATTCCTGTTGAATCCATTGTATTCAAGTATTGTAGGTTTTGGACAAACTGTACTCAAGCTTTCATCTAATGAAAAAATGCAAATCCCAAAAGTGATAAGAAATGTCATTCATTCAAGAATAATTGATGCCTACCAAAGTTATTGCAAAGAAAATGGCTTTGAGACTTTCAGCAGAGCGTCTTTGTATAGGATATTGAAAGTTTGTAATGCTTCAAAACAGAAAGCACTGCAAGGGTTAGACAACATTACAGCCGCGGGAATGAATTCAATAGGTACTCTTATAAAACTGACATCAAAATTAGAAACATTTGGAATGAATAGTACAGATGTAATTTCCCTAACGAACATTTTGCAGCTGGTAAACCAGTTTCTCAAATATGAGTACAAAACCCATCTGAACAGACTGGATGGATGTACAGATCACTGCACCATATTCGCTCTGAGTGATACCAATGATAATTTTTCCTCAACTTGTGATCATACACATGAACAAAACTGTGACAAATGTTCAATGGTAGATAGTTGTGCAGACTTGATTCGGAGAAAATTCAGTCAGATGGACATTCCTGAAGCTGTCATGGATGAGATTAACTATGAAATTGACATTTCAGAGAGAAATTTAACAGAATGGAAGAAACATTTATTGAGAACTGTACATCAGGATAATGCTAGAAGTAATATACTCAAGACATTGACAGCTAAGAAAGCCTTGGTAATCATGGACTGGGCCATGAAATTCCTCCCTTTTCAGTTTAGAGAAACCCAGTCAGAGTTTTTTGGGAAAAAGGGATTCAGCTGGCACATCTCATGTGTTATTACAAAATCAGATGATAATGAGTTGGACTTGCAGTGCTATGTCCATATTTTAGAAATGGGAAGTCAAGGATGGTTTTCCGTGGCCAATATTTTACTTCATCTTCTTCATCATTTGAAAGATGTCAAGCCGCAGATAGAAGAGATCTCCCTTAAAAGTGATAATGCTGCATGCTATCACTGCACAAATTTAGTATCTTTTATTCAACTGAATAATACAAGTTTCCCAATTTACGTCAAAGAGTACAATTTTAGTGAGACACAATCGGGAAAGGATTTGTGTGACAGTAAAACGGGATCATCTCGCTTACATATGTATAAATATGCGAATGAGGGCCACAATATAATCAGCACCACAGATATGAAAAAAGCATTAGAAAGCTATGGGGGAGTACGTGGAACCCAAGTCTGCATTATCTCCATAGACCAGGAGGAAGAGCCAAAAACTAAGGTGAAAATCCCAGGAATAAGTATGCTAAACAACTTTTCATTTGGAGCAAATGGGATGACAGTGAGAAGAGCATATAATGTTGGTGAAGGACAATTGATTAAAAACATCAATGAGCAACAACTTTTGAACAGCAGTGTTTACAGATTGAAGGTGAGTCTATCATTGGTTTTAGGTGAACTCGGGTAAAACATATTCTTATAAGTAATTGCCTTCTCTACAGCTGTCCTTAAGTTTTCACTTATCAAAATCATTTTTGTAAAGAAGGCAAATGGAACAAAATTAACTTGGCAAGAAATAATTGACAGCTATATATTTTCAACCTTCAGCAAGTTTCAACACACAATCTTTTTCTGTTAGGTCTTGGAACCATTTCCTGGAATCAACAACCAGCCTAAGAGTGGAAAGGTAGCAGCCCATTCAGCTGAGAACATTGAAGACAACTCTGTATTAGAGACATTGCCTGAAACTGTATCAGAAGATGATTGTAACCTTGATGAAAGAACACCACAAGCACCTTTTTATTGTTGTCCAGATGATTCTTGTGACAAAGTGTTTGTGAAGTCCACTAATCTAGAGAAACATTTAACTCTTGGCAACCACAGTTACAGAAGCAATCAAATTTCTGGTCTTGACAGTGCAGTTGAAATTTATGCTTCCCAATGTGAATCTTTAAGAGATTATCAAAATTCACTGTTTAGGAGAGAAACTGACATATGTGATACAAACAGCACTGACTCACTCAGGGAAAGTACACAACAAACAAAGAACAAAGGTTGGGCATTGAAAGGAAAAAGAGTCACCACCAGATTTTCAGAAAATGTAAAACTGTACCTTAAAAACATTTGTATTTCAAGTGATAAAACTGGTTCCCGTCCTGATTATCAATCACTCTCTGAAGAATTGCGTAAAGCAACGGATGAAAATGGGCAGAAATTATTTCAGAAAGATGAATGGCTTAATCCTACACAGATAAGAGGATATGTGGCTCAGTTTCTTTCAAAATCTAAAGCTAAAATGGCTACTGCACCAAAACAATCGAGAGTTGAATTGCAAGAGGTGTCTGTTGAAGATGATGAGAAACTATCAGAAGTTGTAAACATGTTAGATGTAAATGAATATAATAATTATGTCTCAACTATGGTTAATGAAGTTCTTTCTGCTGTAGCCATGTAGACTTAAAAACTGTATGAAAAAAAACTTTCATTCTGTCGTCATTATTGTCAGCATTAACGTTTTTTTACCTATTAATGCAGCCACATGACATTTGTTATATAAGTTAATTACTTTGTACCAAGGCAATTTTTTTCTTTTCTTTTTTTTTTTACAGAAAGATAACTGGTCTATAATGGAGGTATAATATATACATTAAACTTAACAAAGATTTGAAGTTGGTCTTTTTGTCAAGCCTGGGACACCGTAACCTTGAAATTAATTATGATACATGTAAACAGGCACCTTTACCCTTGAAATTTACAATAATATTTCATTTTAAAGTACATGTATGAAGAATGTGAGAGAACAGTAAATTGTCCAGATTGTGTTTAATGCAGAAGAATTCAAGAAAGTAGCAGATGAAAATGTTGATGATTTTATAGAGTTGAATAGCCCACAAAGAAGAGAGTGTACGTATTGTCTCATTCGTCCAAAAAAAATCAAGTCATTGCACATCCCCCAATAAAAAATATCTCGATGTTTGTATTGATGAAATTGGAAATTTGTAGAAATTGTTTCTTCTTAACACTAAAATTAATATGTTGATCAAATGACTAGTATGATGAATGATGTGTTCACTTTTGTAACTATCTAGCAAATGTGTATAAGAGGTAATTAGATTTAAGGCTTGTACATAATCCATGTAATGGTTTATAAGGAATTCATAAATTCCCCCTCCCTTTTATGATGTATTTTTTTTGAAGGGGGGGATTCAGTCATTATCTATCAAATTGTGAGTTATGTATGTCTAAATTCTGAAATACTGATATAAAAAAACTCCAGATATTATTCTTTTTTATTTTTGGAGAAGTTTTTAGGTACTTTCTGATTAGCATTTACTGTATTCTTAAAATTTTTGATTTGAAAATTTAACAAACTTTGACTTTCAATATTTTCTAAAATTTATATTTGCCAACGACAGTTTTTTCACATTTTGTTAACATAAGCATCCTTAACAATAAGCAACAACATTTATTGGATTCAAATATCCTCGCTGGTTGTTACAGTACTTTCAATTCTACCTAAAATTGTCACTTTTTCCAAAAAATTGGAAAAGTGCCAATTTCATGACCTTTTTGCACTAAAACAAAATGGATGTCAATCATTCTGACTATGCATTTATGAAGAACTAACCTTTATCTTTTCACTACAAATAAGAATATCTAGTTAATTTGTAAAGTTGCAATTTTATTTCTCCTCAAAAGTAAAAGTTTAAAAAATTACCTCTAATTTTTTTGCATATGGGCTATTTTAGTAACAGGTCATAAAACTTATACGAGTTTGATCAGCCCGATAAAAATTTGTTTGATTTCCATTTGTGCATGCTAGATTTGGCTTCCAAAGTTTGAAGGCGATCAGAGAAACTTGCCTCTGGACCATTTTGCATGCTTTTCTCAAAAGCTCTTTTGCCTTAATTTGTTAACAGATTTCTCTTGAATCCGAGATGTTATTCATCAGCTGATTATAGAGGAGGAGTTTTGTCATTGATGGGAACCAACGTCATATTTATGATATTGTGGCTGCATCACTTTTGTTTGGGTAATTTTTTAATATACTTTTTATGCCCCCGTAAACGAAGTTTCGGGGGTAATTAGTTTTTGTCGTGTCCGTCTGTCTGTCTGTCTCTCTGTTTGTCCGCAAAAACTTTCACCATGCCAATAACTTTTGATTTAGTGGAGCTATGACTTTCATATTTCATATGTATATTCCTTGTAAAGACCTTTCTTTGGGTACCACCAAATTTGACCTATTGACCTTGACCTTGGAGTTTGATCCACTTTAAAAATACAACATTGACAGAAATTTTTGAAGGGTTAGGACTAGGGCATTCATACTTCACAAATTTAATCCTTGTGACAAGACCTTTCATTTGATTTCAAGAACCTTGACCATCTGACCTTGACCTTGGTGTTTGAGCTACTTTTACCAAACTTTAACCTTGACCATAACTTCTGAATAGTTGGGGCTAGAGCTTTCATATTTCACATGTGTAATCCTTGTGACAATACCTTTCATTGGATATCAAGAATCTTGACCCTTTGACCTTGACCTTAAAGTTTGACCTACTTTTTACAAACTTTAACCTTGGCCATAACTTTTGAACGGTAAGGGCCAGTGCTTTCATACTTCCCATACATAATCTTTGAGACAAGGCCTTTCTTTAGAACACAACAACCTTGACCCTTTGACCTTGACCCGGAATTTGTCCTATCTTTTAAGATGTTAACATTGGTCATAACCCTGGAGCAGGTTTAGTTAGTGTTTACATTTCTCATTTCTTGTGAGAAGACCTTACTTTGGTACGAATTAACATATAATTTGATTTGCATTTGAGAAAGCTTAACTGTCGCTAAACTGCCGTACGGGGGCATCAGTGTTTCACAAACACATCTTGTTTTTCAGTAAATTTTAACCTGCTTTGTATTAGTGGATTATTTTTTTGAGCATTAAATGTTTGTAGCAATTTAGATCTATTTCACAAGGATAAGGCCATACCAATTTGTAAAATAGTTCTTCGGATTTTCAAAAATAAAAAGTGAGGCGAGCGAGCGAAATTTTTTTATTAATATTTTTTATTTTGGGTTTCAAAATTATGAGGCGAGCGAATATAATTTATACATATATATATTTTTTAATAAAGTGTTATTTCAAAATGTGTGAACCTAAAAAATAAAGATAGATATCATTTGCATACCACATGAACTTATCATTCTTAACTTTTTGGGGATTTTTTTTAATAAGTAAAAAATGTGTCAAATTTCAAAGACTTTACTTTCATAAATTAATGTTTTCAAACATCTCCTCTGCTACCATTTCTATTGCTGTGTATGAAACAACTTCGTACCCATTGTTTTTAACTATAGTACACAGTGTTGTGCGATTAAAAATATCAAGTACTAGTCCACAGGCGAGTGGCAGCTGCAAAGTTACTAGCCCAAATACAGGGGCAAAAATTAGGATAAAACTATAAAATAATGTTGAAAAAGACATTAATTGCTGATAAAAGTCAGGGTACTGAGGTCATTCTTTTTAAAGTCAAAGTTTTAATTCTCAAAATCAAATTCAGTCATGTTTAAATATTATGAAATAAAGTTAAAATGAACTTCAATAAATTATCTTCCCTTTCTCTGATCATTGCACCAGCTCATTTAGAATGAAATTAAATTCATTTTGTTTTCATCTTAAATCATTCAAAACAAAAGAAATGCATTTTATGTGAGTCACAAAACACTTATCTTTCAGTTGATTGAGTGATCGTAAATAATTTAAAGATATAGCTGCATGTATTTACCATAGAAGGAGGAATAGAAGAAATTCGGATTAGGAAAAAAACGATCGTTTTTGGAAGTAAATAAGTCAGGTAGTTCTGCAAAACGGATAAGATTATGGAGATTTATTGACAGGAGGAGTATTGTTGTCTGGAAAATATAAACTGGTTGGGAATTTTATAGCCAAAAACGAGTTAAAATACCGGTTGTGCTTTTCATGTATTGCGTGTGTAGTTATATTTTTTACTAGCCCGACGGGCTACCTCCTTGTAGAAAACCACTATCCCGACCCCCAAAAATGTTAGCCCCGGGCGTCAGGGGATGCTAATTGCACACCCCTGGTACATATGAACAGTTAAACAGACATGGTGCAAAACTTCACAAACTGCTTCAATCTCACTATAAATCCCGCGCATCTGTCATACAAGTTTCAAAGTTCATGTGTGTTTGGTGCAAAAAAAAAATTGTAGTCGGCTTTTTTTGGAAGCGCGCGCGGACATTTTTTTTTGTAATATTATAATTTGCATTTGTAATAAATAGAAGCGGCGAATACGACGAACTATATTAGAAATTGGTATGGCCTAAGATGTTCATATATTTTGCCATCTCTCTGCATTAAATAAAATTTAGATGACCATATTTCTCACTTTAGAGAGTATGTTTCCTGTTTATAGAACATGCTTTATGGATTTTGGTAAATTTTTCTGTCTGTTCAAATTCGCCTGCATGGCACAGTGGTTAGAGTGTCTGCTCTAGTAGAGTCGCGAAATAAGGTGTTGATCCTTACATCATGAGTTTGAATCCCACTGTGGGATGTGGAGACCTGTCCTTGGGATGATACAGTATAACTGTGGCCCCTTGTTGCAGTAGCTCAGGTGTTGGCACAAAAAAGATCCCTTCCTGCTCAATCAGTCAATGGCCCTGAGTGCTGAGTATAGGTCATTAGGACAAAATTTGCAGCTCTCCACTGTCGTTTCCATATGAGTGAAAAATTCTTGAGAGGAACGATAAACAATAAACAATCAATCTGTCTGTTCAATTTATTCACTGATATTACACAACTGTATACACTAAAACTTATTTATAGCAGCGAGGTACAAGAGAACCAGTAACACAGATAAAAGATGCAGTTCCTAAGAGATCCAAAGTCAGCAGCACCTAAGACCAAACTGACTTTGAATTATCAGCATCCAAAACAATGCAAATCAAATACAGGTATGAAATTGATGCAACAAATAAGTTCTAAGACAAATATAAAATTTATTTTTTATAAGACATAGCATATCAAAATGACTAATATACTAGTCAACAACTGGCCAGCTTTAAAAATATATTTGTTTGATGTACTCCTACCCACTTTTATCAAGGTTGGCAGGTAGGTTGGTAGGTACCGGTAGTTTTTTTATGCCCCACCATGATTATGGCCTGGGCATATAGTGTTTGTCATGACTGTCTTCTGTCTTTCTGTCCATGCATCACACTTTGCGTTTAGCTCAGTTCAAAGCCCAGTTTCAAAGAAACTATACAGGATATTTCATCAAACTTTGCTGATAGATATTGATAAGAGCTATGCAACTGCATCAACATTTTCTGTCCTTGACCTTTCCTTTGACCTTGACCTCACTTTTCTTAAATTAGTGTTTAACTTAGTTTTAAACATACCATTCAAGATGGTGTTTTAGCAAAACTCAGTTATAACACAGTTGCTGGGACCTATGAAATTACTTCGTTATATCCATAATTCATTATAATCGTATAA